TTCTTACTCTTGGTATTACTTATAAAAGAGATTATTATTTTCGAATCTTATCAAAACGTGTCACATAAACCCTACTTTTATCTTACGTGATAAATTAGATTAACGTTTAAATATTATTTTTATAAAAAATGAAAAGATATGAATTCCATATATAAAATTTGAAATTGTATTTCTTTACATGACTGAATTAAATTATGAATATTATATTAATTTATCATTTATATATATATATATATATTAATAAATAATTTAGAGACAAACAACATTTTTATCTTCGAAATTTAGGGTAAAGTATATAACTTGTCCTCTGATTACATAATGTTATTTTGTTAAGTCATGATTATTAAAAGTTACAGAATAGTCTCTTGACTAAAGAAAGTTGTTTTGTTTAGTCCTTTACTATTAAAAGTTATAAAATGGTTACTCGACTAGTCATTATGTTCCGAACTCGTCCTTTTTAGTTAAATAATAACAATAGTATGAGTTGGACGTTAACATGCTGACTGAGATATGATAGTCGTTTGAGATTATGAGATCAAATTATATCATATCTCATTCAGAAGGTTAACTTCCAGCTCAGACTGTCATTAATTTTTAAACAAAGTACGAGTTTGGAACATAATGAGTGATCATTTTATAACTTTTAATAGTCAATGGACTCAACAAAACAACTCTATTGTCAAGAGATTATTTTTTAATTTTTAATAGCCGAGAGAATGAACAAAACAATATATTATACTAAGGGTGTGTTTGGTTGGAGGAATGTGAGATTTTCATGGGAATGGAATCCACGTTCCTCCGTTTGGTTGGCCGGGAATGTCATTCCCGGTAGTCTTTCATTACTAATAGTGAATTTTTGGGTATATTACCGGAAATGTCATTACCTCCCTTTTCTTAGGTATTGTTAGATTATCGACGTTTTGGACTAAAATGACCTTAAATTTTGTTCTTTCAAAAATAATCTTATTCTGTCATTGAATAATAAAAAGTTTACGAATGTTAAATTACAAATTTATCCTTAAACTATTTTAGATTTACAAAAAAAGTCTATAATTAAAATTTTATATGAAATTCAAGGGTTAAAATAAAATTTTACCCTTTCATTAAACTTTTTATATTTTCAATTTTGTAAAAAAATTATAAAAATTTTATGAATTTAATTTTTTAAAATATATATATATAAATATTTTCCAACTTGTTAAAAAAATAAATATATAATAAGGACAATTTGGTCAAATATACATTCAAATAATCTTTTATTCATTTAACCAAACACGGTAATCTTACATTCCTGCTAAACCAACCAAACACAAAATACAACATTCTCAGTAATCCTATTCCTTAGTAATATTTTATTCCCACTGGTAATCTTACATTCCGTGAACCAAACGCACCCTAAGGAACTACTTGTGTGTTTTATCCTTGAATTTAATCTAAATTCAATTTTAAATTATTTATTTTTTATTTATTATTACGTTTAACTGTAAATAAAAACACAAGAATAAATTAATAACTCCCTAATTGTTGTTATTTAATGAGTGTTGAAAATATCATCCGACAATTTCCATGTGCTTCCCTGCTCTCCCCATCCTTCATAGAGTCGTAATTACAAATTTTCTTCTGAATTATTATCAACGCCATTGCCAGCGCACGTAAATCAGAAGAATGTAAGTGATAAAAGACTACCAAATCCATGTTCCATGGCAGACCGATGTATGTGTTTACTATACATGATGGGGTTCCTCAATGTTATCAGTAAGTGAGTGTGATCCGATTTTCCTTGCCTTTGCATCATCTAGATAATTCTGAAAAATGTAAGAGCAAAAACCACATAGTGCCATAAGTATAGCAATTACCTTCACCGCATTCATCTTGTCATGGAAAACTATCAGAGCAGCTAGAGGTGTGGTCACCAACGACAGGGTGCTGATTATATTGGAGAACAACGACGACACCTTGAAAATCAGCCCCACCACACCGACAGCGCATACTTGCCGACTTATGGCCGTCCAAACCAAAGTCAGCACATACGAAACTCTCCCGCTGTCGAAGCCATCCATCTCTTGCTGCAACCCCTTCCACTCCCCGCTCGCAAACAGGCCCGCGGTCGAAACGCAGGTCGCCACGAGCGATGTATAAATCTGCATCTCCAATACCACACTAAATGTTTCCTTCCTCAACACCTTGTCAAATGAAAGTTGCATAAGGGAGAGTAAAAGGAGTAAACAGCTGAAGCTCCTAGGGTGCATAGGAAGCCGAGGAGATACTTCCCTTGGAAACGCTTGACGGTACTTCCGAATCTTCGTTCACCGCAATCAGAGCAGCCGACAACGAGAGGAATCCCACGGAGTTAAGGATTAAAGCAGTATCTTCTGCGAATTAAAGAAGTAGGAAAAAACCGCATTGAAAGCTAACTGGGTAGAACAAATGAGGGAATAAGTGGAGGCTGACAGGAACAACAGCCCAACGGAGTACATCATATTGTCACCAGCTACAAGTAATCCAAGAACATCATAGATAAAAGCAACAACTTTGATGGAAGGTGAAGTCGAAGTTTCGAGTTTCTGAGATGGATGAAGAAGAAATAAAGGGATGAAAAGGATTGGAAACCCAGCAGCTTGCACAATAGTAGCCATCCATTCACTATTTCCACCTTGAACATAATAAAATCTCCCCAGAAGAACTGAAGCAGCTTGGCCTACAACAATGAACAAAATACTGACGGCCACCATAAGCCACCATTGCCAGCGCCCGAGTTTAAGAAATGGAGATTGATCCACTAAATTTTCATCCATGATCAGAAACGGTTCTCGATCATCTGTAATTGAATATAACTCAATGTGTTAACAAGCAATCGAAAACATTCACTGTGAAAAGTGAAAATTTTAATCAGAAATCTAAAAACCTTGTCAAACATAGTAATCTTAAAAATTTTAATCAACAAATTTCAATAAGAATCTGGAAAACAATACAGTAAGCAAACAAAAAACTAAAAGCAAAAATGTTTATTTCCAAAGAATCATCTAATCGCGAATCACCAGGGAAAAACAAAGGGAACCCAGTAGCATGACTTGAAAGGGGAACTTATCAGGTCAGAGTGATGAAAACAATCGGTAACCATTCATTTTTCGATTCCGAGAAGAACCCAGTAAAGTAAAGAAGAGGTAAAATAGAAAGAAAGGGCATACTTACCCTTCATGGTGCCGAGGTTGATTGGAGCGTTGAAATTTGAATCGAAGGAAGAAGACGAAGTGAGACTCTTGAGAATAAACAGAAACAAAGAGAATAAAAACGAAAGATGTTTCCTTGGGGAGGAGTGGTTGGAGCCAACCGCCTATGCAACATAGTCCATTTCAAGTCCATTGGACGATTGACAGATATCGGAGATTGAAGAAATCGAAGAGTTTATCGTTGATTTAGGGAATTGAGATATTTTCGGTGAAACGGTGGCCGAAATCACAGTCGAAATGATGTGGGTAAAAAAGTTTGGACTTCATTGATCAACGGATGCAACGATCGACGAGTCTGTCTATTAATTTTTAACGGCGTTACTAAAATGAAACAAAAACTAAGCATGAGGTATGGTTTTAAAAATATTGAAAGTTTAGGTAATAAAAAATCAAAACTAATATTTTGTATTAAACACGTAATTTACCCTAGTTAAAAACCAAATGTAATCTGTACATATCCCTACTTATGCCCTATCACACAATGTGTATTCATTTTTTTTAATTTTTAAATTAAAACAAAATTGCAGAGGACACCAACGGTTTCCTACTAGGATGTAGAGTCAATTCGTCATGGTTAAACAACACTGAACAAAATGCTAGAGATGAGAAATGGGAAGTCCATCCCACTGGCATTTGCTTTGTTCTAATTGTGAGGAAAATAATCACTTATCAGATCGAATGGTAAAAATAATTTAGGGTAAAGTATATAAATGCTCTCCAAATTATAGGGTATTGTTTTATTAAATCGTTCAAACATTTAAACAGTGAGAAATATGAACATTTAGGGGTGTTTGGTTGGGGAAATGTAATTCCCATGGGAATGGAATCTACATTCTCCGTTTGGTTAGTATGGGAATCTCATTCCCGTAATGTAAGATTACCAATAGTGAATTTTTTTGATATATTACCGAGAATGTCATTACTTCCTTTCCTTAAGTATTGTTGTATTACGATATTTTTGGATTAAAATACCCTTAAATTTTAAAAAAAAATATCATTCTTTTGTCATTGAATAATAAAAATTCTACGAATGTTAAATTACAAATATATCCTTAAACTATTTTAGATTTACAAAAAAAACTATAATTAAAATTTTATATGAAATCCAGGGGGTTAAAATAAAATTTTACTATTCATTAAAACTTTTTATATTTTCAATTTTGTAAAAAAAAATTAAATGAATTTAAATATTTTAAAGAAAATATATAAATATTTTCAACTTGTTAAAAAAATAAATATATAATAAGAACAATTTGGTCAAATATACATTACAATAATCTTTTATTCCTTTAACCAAACACGGTAGTCTTGCATTCCTGCTAAACTAACCAAACACAAAATACAACATTCTCAGTAATCTTATTCTCTGGTGATCTTACATTTCCACTGATAATCTTACATTCTGTGAATCAAACGCACCCTTAATGGATTCAAACAGTGAGATGTATGAACATTTAATGGATTCACTTTTTCTGATTTGAACGAAAAGTCACTGATCGGTTGAGATCCAGCTGACTAGAGAAGATGGACCAGGGAAAGAGAATAGAGTTCTTCCTTTCTAAGTTAAAAGAAATAAGTACTTATTCTCTGTGCACGTTTTGAGCTTGCAATAAACGTTTTAGACTCAGCGTCGTGCTTTCGTACCTTCCAAGTTTCATTGTTCTGATTGTGCTATTATCCTCCAACATCGAATTCATCTCTTTTATCTCAAAATAGTACATCCAAAATATCAAAGAATTGTGGATTCTTCTCATCTTCAATAAAAGCCAAGGACATGAAATGTACCAATAGCATGAAATCATGAACAAAATGGCGAGCTATTCAGTTATGAAATACATACCAAAAAGGAAAAATTGACACCATGAAGAACCATCAAAGTGGATTATTCCTCTAAATCAAAGACTGGAAACTTCATTCAACTGCAGCCAACAAGTCACTCTCTTTGCAGAAGACGTGCTTCGTATTGGTTCCCAAATCCACCTGCAAGCAAGCCAGTCATACAATCAACTTTTGAAAAAAAATCCATTCTCATGTTAACCAACGCAAATAAAAGCCACAGCCATTAGTGAAAAGATAATGCAGCAGATGATTCAGTGCCTAAAAACATTTTTCGCCGTTAACAGAGTCACCATAATGTTAAATAGCTAATAGAACCTGTAAAAACAATTAGCTCAAGCGATGGACAAAGGGACGATAACTAACCTCATAAGCACTTATGTCAGAGAAAAGAACCTGTAAAAAGAATGGCGTTCTCTTAGAAGGTATTAGGAGAATGATGTCATAAATTGAAAATGCAGGCAGGGATCCAAATTTATTACCTTCTTTCCAGTCTCCACTTGTCCTACTTCAGCACCAACAGAAACTATCTGAAGTGTAAATGATAGAATTAACAAACGTTCATTCTAAAGTTGGGAGGAAAAAGCTATGGAGGGACTGTGATCATACCTCCCCCATCAGGTACCTCTCAAATTTGACAGCTGATTTGGGCAACAATACTCCACCAGCTGATTTCTATCTGTACAAAACGGTTGATCAATCAGCATGATAATTTACAACATGGTATGCATGTGGGGAATTGCATTTCATCACAAAGGATTATCAGACAATATAGACTATGTTTAAGAGAGCTAATGATTTACAAATTTATACATGACAGCCAAGCATCATGCATTCATCCAGGATGGAGATGGACGGAGGGGTGCTCGGGGTATGGTTACACCCTGTTAAAATTTTAAATTCCCATAAAGTTTAGATATTTTCTTTGTATTTTCTATTAATAATCTAATTTTACATCCCCTAAATTTCTAATTTAACTTCTTAATTTCACACCCCTCAGCATAAATTCATGCGTCCGCCAATAAGATAGTTAGTTCCCCTTTCCATTCCAATTCCCCAGCAATGTATACAATCGGTGATGGTATTTTCTTTGACTAGCATGTCAATAAGATGAACCAACTTATAATACTCAGTTCTGATTTCCTGAATTCAGAGAACAAACAAGTCTAAAGGTTGCATTTAAGGGAACAAGATGGAGACCAAAAGACACCCATACATACATATTGCTACATTCCAACATACTTTGAATAACACAAACTGGGAACTAAAAACCTGAAAATCAAACAAATGGATATACCTCGGGCAACTCCTGGAGACGGATAAGAACTCTATCAGCTTGTGGAACAACCTGTAAAAACCAGATGTACATTTAGGATAACAATCAGCATTTCAAAAAACAATCTGGGGGTTTATAAATTCAAATAGAAGTGTCTTTGTGTAAGTGGGATAATGGGATCAAAAGGATAAATACCTTGGTGGGTTCCCATTTACTTGCAACCGCTTTGATTCTAAGAGAATTTCTTCGAGACCCTGCTGGGTAGCCCACAATAAAAATGATAGTGGTTAGAAGAAACAAAAGCAATTTATAAGTCTATAAGAAAAGAAGGGGCAAAGCGAACTAACCGGGAAGATTGTGAGTGGAAAGAGAAGGGATTGTAGGCTTGCTCAGCGTAAAGGTTTGTGCTGCTGAGAGAAATGTGGACGCCATGGATAAGATTAAGAAGCACTAATTTCGTCTGTTAGATGTGGTAATTTGTAACCAAAGCCCTCGTATGCTGCACTGGGTTTTACGTTTATAGGCCCAATGGCTAATCCTCAAAACGTTGGAGTTCTAGGGATGTTTTGCGAACAGAAAGTGAATTTGAAAATGAAACGGTAAAAAGATATCAAAGGTATTTGTATTTTTAAAAAAATTAATGAGATATTCCTTATACTTCTTTTTTAATGTAGTCCTTCAATTCAGAAAATAAATTTAATGTGGTCATTTGAACAACGACTCGTCGTTGATCATTACGATGCTAGCAGTTCACTGTACTGACGTGACATTTCATTTGACATGTTTGAATTATCAATTTAGTTCATCTGTCATGTTATCAACCATCATAAACTGTCACGTCAGTACCTTGAGCTGACACGTCAGTACAGTGAACTGTCACGTCAGTACCGTAACGGTCAACGACTAAAAAAATTGGTCAAAGGGTCATATTAGGTTTATCTTCTGATTTTGAGGATCACATTGAGAGAGAAAATAATACGAATATACATTGATTTTTCTAAAGTATAGGGACCTCTGATGCATTTTTACCTAAATTATATTATATTGTTATTTTAGTATATAAAAACTGATTTAATTGAATCTTTCATTTTTTTTAATTATGATGCATGTTATTTATCAAAATCGTTTTATCATATTTCGAATGCATTAAATTTTTAAAAAGTTGATCATAGGTTTAGAATAGTCATTAGTCATTTTTTTAATACAAAACATTTCACAACATTTTTAAAAAAATTGAAAATTTCATACGACCTTAAACTCTAATTAAATATCAAATGTACCTTAATATGAATTATAGCTAGTTTAAAATTAATATATATTCTCCTTCAAACCACTAAAGAGCAATAAAAATGTTGGCTGAGGCTTCGTTTGGAAATACTTCTTCAAATGAGCGTTTCTAACGCTGAAACATTATTTTTTGGCTTCTCGGTTTGAGTCGATAATCAAGTTTCAAACGTAAAAATTTAACTGAAAATGAGTTATTTGAGATTATTTTTAAGCTTCAACGAAATTTTGAACCAAAAACACTTCCATAAACATTCACAAAAGGTCTCTGAATCCCATTTATCACGAAAACTCATATTCAAGTTGTCATTTAATTGTATGTGGAATTCGACCATTTTGAAAACATGTTGTAGACACCCGTTTTTGTCCGGGTCTTTTATATTTATTTATTTTTTATTTATTATTATTATTATTATTATTATTATTATTATACAGGTTACATTTTTGTAGGCCACTATAAGACCAAATTTGGAGCCCACTAGCTATCCAACTCAGCAGGCCTAATCCCGAAGCCCAGCAGGTACATCAAGCCCAACTACCAACCCAGACCTGCGGCCCAGCAATCGACCCAAACCCGCTAGGGTTACCCCTTCTCTGCCTCAGCGCCGCACCATCAAGACCGTCTGATCTGGACCCATCCAATGGTCCAGATCAAAGGCCATTTAGGTCTGAAACCCTAACCCTAGTTCTGAGCCCTAACAGCTCAGCCACCAGCCGCCTCTTGGCTTTTCCATCTTCCTCTGACGCCGCCACCATCACTGTTCCGGTCTGACCCCAACTGTTTCACTATTGTCATCTACAGCAAAACCAATCAAGAAAATATATCATATACAGTTCAAATCTCACAAAATCTAAACTCCAAATTAAAATACCAATAAATCCCTAAATATTCGAGATTTCTATCCCACCAAATCAGAAAAAGCCATGCCCTACACTAGGTATCATCATCTCACCAAATACTCAACATAAATCAAGGGAACCAAACGAGAGAAAAAAAAACGAAAAGAAAAATACAGAGAGAAGATTCGGGTTTACAGAAAAAAAGAGAAAAAAGGAGAGAAAATAAGAAAAAGAAAAAACAGAAAGGAAAAAGAGAGGAACCGAAGCTTACCCATAACCGACCACCATTGCTTCATCGGGGTGATTAGGCTCTATCTTTGGAGGTAATTTTTTTACCTTTCGGATTTGGGGGTTTCGGGTTTGGGTTATGAGTGGGGGTTTAGTTTTAGGTCGATTTTAGGGGAAAACTGTGTAGTGTGTGAGGCCCCGTGGCCACCGTTCTACGGTGGTCGGGGTTGAGTGTTCTGCTTCGGCAGCGAGGGAATGAGAGATTACAGAAGGGAGAGGGATAGCCAAACGGCTGAGGAAAATGGGAAGCTAACAAATGATTTAGGGTTTCAAAATAACCCTTAAAAGGGTTATGTATCAGACGTCAAACGACGTCGCGTAGGGAGGCCGAGCGCCTGGGTTTTTTGGGGTTAATAGCCCATTTAGTCCTCGCTCCTTTGTAAACTCTTACCCGTGTCCTGGACTTTAGGGGTTAATGTTATATTTGGTCCTTGTAGTTTGTAAACCTTCGGTTTTCTTTCATGAATGGAAGTTTAATGGCCTTTCACTTTGAGCTCCTATCTTGTTTAACGTTGCAATTTAGTCCTTGTCTGTTTTAATTTTTTTATGGTATTATTTCAATTTGGTCATACTATTTTAGTATATTTTTATTTAAGTAATGTATATTTCATGTATTTCATTCCAGTCCTTATTTATTTATTATTATGGTGTTTTGTTTAAATTATAATGGTGGCTTGATATTTTATATCTTTTCATTTTGATCCCTATTTGTTCATTATTGTATTTTGGGTAAATACTTTGTTTTGAGCTCATATTTGTAATTATTTCATTTTAGTCACTGTTTTAGTTCATTGTGTATTTTTCTGTGGTATTCGAATCTGGCCACCACATTTATAAATCTTTTATTTTAGTCATTGTTTTACTTTTTGGTTTAATTATTATTCAGCCTTCATGTTTCTGTTTTAATTTCAATCTAGTCCTAAGTATTATTTATGGCTTATTCACATTTCTGATGTTTGTATTAGTTGTTGTTTGTGATTTGGGCCCTGGTTATTTTGTAATTACTTTTTAGCCCTGTTAATTTCTGCTTTTACTAATTTAGTCCATTATGTTTATGTATTTCTATTTTAGTCCTATTAATGTATGTTATGTCATTTTTGTGGATACTTGACTTTGGCCCCAATGTTTGTAATAGTTTCATTTTAGTCCTTGATTTTATATGTTAGGTATTTTTGTTAATGTTCGAATTTATCCCTGACATTTGTGAATATTTTATTTTAGTCATTTATGTATGATTTTATTGTACTTGTTATTCGGTTATTTGTATTATGCAAATAATGTTCTTAATTTCATTTAACGTAAATATTTTATTTTTGTATTTGCAATTACATTTTTTATATTATATTTTTATCTATGTATGAAGTATTTGGTTTTTATTTTCAAGAACACGTATGCGTAGAATGAGCGTGGAAAGTATCACTTGGTCAAAGTGGTGCAATCCCATACGGCATTTTAACGACATAGGAACTTGAAATAAATTGAGTATATTTTATTAATTAATTTGTTTAAATGATGCAATGTGTGTAACAATTTACTTTATTTTATGTAAACTCCAAATTTTTTCATTTTATTTTCGATTCATTTTTTAGTTAATCAACTTATTTTGTTGTATGCAAACGTCAATTTTATTTATATTCGATTCGCATTTTATCAAGAGGGAAATATTCTTTATGGATAAGAAATAGTCGAGTTAGCTTTCCCGATGGAGGATTGCTAATTTCGAGATTTCTTTTCGGGTTAAAGAATTTTCTCTAATTATTTAATTCGAAGCAAATTAATCAATGTTCGATAAATAGATCATATTTTAACTTTATATTCGATTTATAATTTCCACTATTTACAACGATATGTAAGCGACACAGTACCAATTTTGGGCGTTGTGGGGGTGTTTACCCTTCCCCGCACGTAACCGACTCCCGAATCCATTTAAATGAATCTTTGGGAACGCAGACCGAATCTTGTCTTAAAAAATGATTTTTCTTAAAATTGTTTTAAAAGACGTTTTTAGGTATTCAACCTACCTAACCCAAAGGTCGATGGCGACTTTTTCAATTTTATAAAAATCAATTCAAAATCACCCAAATTTTCCAAAATAAAGTCGTAATCGTTTTTTTAAATAATATTTAATTGTTTCACTTAAAAATGGTTATGACAGCTTGGCGACTCTGTTGGGGACCACTAGAGAGTCAGGCTGTCGGTCGCTTATATATGGTCGTTATGGTGGAAATTATAAGTTCGAATCTTTAGTAAAACTATTATCTATGTATTGAATTTTTATTTATTATTTTATCTCTTTATTTTTATATACTAACATTTTAATTGTTTTCATTTTTTTTCAGATATTTCTTAGTTCTCGTTGAGTGTTATTTTTTTTATTTTCCCTGTTTTTGAGTCAAATGTTTGTTTGTTTCTCCTCACACACATCACTTTCATTAGCATAACATGAGCTCTAGACATGAGCTTCGATCCAAATTAGTTAGGGTGATTGCTTTACTCTCGTAAGAATTTATTCTTCGTATGAGTTTTAGCAAATAACCCATGGGATACATACCTTATACCTTCGTAGGAATTTATTCCTCGTATGGGTATAAGGCAGTGAATCCCCTCGAATTGAACTCGGTCCGTTTGAAACCTGTAATGGGTGAGGATTGAGGGTTTGGTAGCCCAAGGGGGCACCGACATCAATGACAATTCGAGTTCCTTTTTCCTGATAAGAGCCGAAACCATGCATATAATGAACCATAGAACGGTCACACTAGGTAGAGTCATACTGAACCTCTGTCCGTCAATAGGTACCCAAAATAGGCGTACACAATGGAGAAACCTACTCTAACCTTTTTATTTTTATTTTATTTATTTATTTTTGAGTGTGTAGAATAGATTTATTCTTTTAAAGCATGTGAAATAGAATTTAGGTGCAGTTAGAATTTAATTAAATAAATTTAGGAGGGTAGAAAGCATGTTTGGGTAGGCCCCTTTTTGAGGAATATTATTCGAGTAGATAATACATAAATGGAGTAGATTTATTTCCCATTTTACATATCTTTTTATGTTAAATTTATACA